CTGCTCCTACATTACTTTAGCAAAATATCTATTATTAGATTTTCTCTTCCCTCTATTTTTTCATTTTGCAGCAAAAACAGTCTTAAAATTTCCAAAACTCTTCATAGAAAACTCACTAACCCGCTGTTTTCTCTGATAAACTGGCAGTTTGCATGGCATTATAAATAGATTGAGTTTCCTGATCCTTTTCTGCCTGAAACATTACTTGTTCGAATGCATATTTTCTTACTTTAAGAACCAACTTACATAATGTTTCAACAAGTTAAACCTCTTTCTAAACCAAAAATATATTATATGATTTCCTCATTTTCTTTGACACTCGTTTCTTCAGTTTTTCACTGCCAACCATTTTAAGGGAAAATTTAATAATCAGATAAAGTTTACATATAATTTAATAAATATTTTTCATATTGTTATGAAATTAAAGCTATAACTTCAAGGATAATTTGTATGATAAAACTTAACATTAATTGTATGTTTGATTTAGAGGAAAGATAAAGGACGAAATAAGTTGAGAAAACAAAAAATAGATAGAAAAAATAAAGATTAAATTAAATAAGAGAAGGCATCCAGCCATTTTTCTCCTCCTCTTCTTCCTGAGAGACAAACAACAAAAAGTAATTATTTCTCATCCTCTCCACTCTACCAAACATTGGTTAATGTTAGCATAATATATTCTCTGAAATTCTAAATAAACACTTTTAGATTAAAAGATAGCAAGAAAATTTTAAATTGATCTATTCAGAAGTAGGAGTTAACTTATTCACAAAGTTAATGTGTTGAAATGAAAATCATCATACAATTTCTCTATTATTTCTTTTAAACTTAAATAGGCTAATTTCAACGGGTAGGGTAGTTCATTTTATTTAATTTTTCTTGTTTCTCTCCTCTAAAAATGGTTAAGGAAATAAACTTTTGCATTACCATAATAATAGGAGAGTTTGTTAAAAAACTTTTGAAAAATAAAGAGTTAAATTTTGCATTTGAACTATGGTATAAAAACTCTTACTTTGAACTCGTTGATGGACAGAAACAACTTGCGAGCATGGTGGAGAAAGCTTCAATCGACGATGTGATGAAAGTGTTGATAGCATCTCGAAAGCAGGAAATGCAGCAGCTGTGGAGCACGTGCTCCCACCTGGTGGCAAAGTCAGGACTTCCGCCGGAGGTGCTAGCCAAGCACCTCCCCATCGACGTGGTGGCCAAGATCGAGGAGCTCCGCCTCAAATCCTCCCTAGCGCGCCGCTCCATGCTGCCGCTCCGCCACCCGCACCCCGACCTCGGGGCCGCCGACATGGAGGATCAGAAAATCCGGCGGATGCGGCGCGCACTCGACTCCTCCGACGTGGAACTAGTTAAACTCATGGTGATGGGGGAGGGCCTGAACCTGGACGAGGCGCTGGCGTTGCACTACGCCGTGGAGAGTTGCAGCAGGGAGGTGGTGAAGGCGCTGCTGGAGCTGGGCGCGGCGGACGTGAATTTCCCGGCCGGGCCGGCCGGGAAGACTCCTCTTCACGTGGCGGCGGAGATGGTATCCCCAGAGATGGTGGCGGTGTTGCTGGATCACCACGCTGACCCGAACGTGCGAACCGTGGATGGCGTGACCCCGTTGGACATCCTGAGAACCCTAACATCGGACTTCCTCTTCAAAGGGGCGGTCCCCGGACTGACCCACATTGAACCCAACAAGCTGAGGCTCTGCTTGGAGCTGGTGCAATCTGCAGCTCTCGTTTTGTCTCGTGAAGAAGGGAACAACCACAACAACAACGCTAACAACAGCAGCAACGACAACACTAACAACCCCAACACTTCTGCTTCTGCAACTGCAATCTATCCACCAATGAGTGAAGCGCACACCAGCAGCAATTTGGACTCGAGACTGGTGTATCTCAACCTCGGCGCCACGCCACAAATAGGTGACGATGATAGCAGCAGCCAGAGGGAAGCCATGAACCGTCATGGCTCGCAAGGTGGTGGATGTGACCCATCAATGTACCATCACTCTCATGACTTCTAGTTCTAGCTCTAGACCACTATTACTGTTATTATATATAGATATAATATGTTTGAGCTAGAGTAGCTGGTTATATAGCTGTCTGGCTAGTGGCTACCTTGAATTTTCAATTTAAAATGGAAATATAATTGAAGTTAATTTCAACTGCAACGAAGAAGAGACTGTGGACACTGTAGATTGGGTTTTTGTTTTCTGATAAACACGATCCACACTCTAAAAACTAATCTGAGAGATATGACTTTGTTTCTGGGGTTGTCAGTTGAAATAGTCATAGTGTTGATTACTCATATCACTATATGGTTGTTTAATTCTGTTTTTGGGTCTCTGGCCTACGTTGGGTGTTTGTCTGTGTTTCTTTTTGTAGGCTTTTCAAATGGTAGCAATGTGAAGTGCGGTTTCATGGGAGATGAGGATAAGCGACAAGGAGAATCTAATCACTGTAATTTTATTTTATTTTGCTGTAAAACCAAAGGGTGCATGGAGGAGACGCAGGTCAATCTTTTCAATCCCACTTCACCTGTCAACTCTTTGTTTTTTTTTATATACACTCACTGATGATGATGATGATGATGAACATGCTTAGCTAATATCACGGCCAATGCTTGTGTTCTTTTAATTTGGCTTTTCTTATTCCAATTCTTGTCCCACCTCACCCCACTTTCTCCTAACCCAAATTATTTATTTCTTTACCTTCCTTTATTTTCTGCTTCAACCTCTCATCATAGCAACTAGGATTATTTTTCCTTTTTCTTTATTTTCCAATTTAAGGTTTATATGCTTATGGTATAGGTCAGCTTTATATCAGAGTTAAGAGATTAATCATATGAGCAGTGGCATATTTTCTTCTGATATTAATTAGTATTGGGATTTATTGTTTTACTTTTGAGAAAAAGGTGTGGCTGTGGACAAATGGATTGGTTGTCTTGCATGAATGCTACAATGAGTGTGACCACACATGTCAAGTTAAAATATTGGCACTATCTCCTTCCATGTAATCCTCTTTTTGTCCCCTTGCCTTTTGTAGGCTCTTGGAGATAAAATAAATACTTTACAGCTAAAAGCAATTACATTAATAGTAATATCTTTTATCTTGCTAATTTTTGTCTAAGTTCATAATTAGTAGTGGGTCAGGGAACATTCTTGAACTTTACTCCATAATTAATTTTCTGCATGTAAATAGATAAGCTATACGCATCCCGAGTTGAGTACGTGTTCTTCTGAAAACATTTACAAACCCAAATTATCAGGTAATTAATACATGAAAAATTGTGCAGCAGATGCATATCTAAAACTAAAGTTACTTTTCTTTTTGGGTCATCTATGAACTCAAATAATATACTTTTTGTATTTGTATACATATACTTATAATTATACCCTATCTGCCATAAATATGCAACTGTCCAGTGATTCTATTTATTAGAAAAAAGATTTGATACACTTGAACAGTTCAACCATCACTTCTATTACTGTTCCAATATAAACAAGTATGCATCTATTCGTGATAAATGCTTAGACCAAATTACTTTGGTAAGGTCATAGAATAATTTATTTATCAAACATATACTAGTCTTGACTATGCATAAACTGTGTCAGTATTTATATTTTGCATTTATCAGTTTGTGTATTTTCTCCAACTATCTAATGCAGTGACATTTTTCTCTATGGTAGCTCTAGTTACATTCAGCCAATAAATTTTTACTGATGAGTGGGGGAACTTTGATGATAATCAGTGTTTATAGATGTTTTTTTGAATTGGATAAAGCTATTAGTTTAAAGAGTTGGGAGCAAACAGTATAAACTGTACTTGTACAGAGTTTGGCAGAGATCTAGGACAGAAAAGTACATGACTTTAACTAAAACTAGGGCATTAATGGATCACTGATATTAGCAGTTTGGACTGTATAGAAAAAGCAGAGAAGTGACTACTCATAAGTATGCCTGAGATTTTGGTAATCATGATTCACCTGCTAGTTTGCTTGTGTTTTTTAATGTCAAAAGGTGAATAAATTAACCCTTTTGCATCTTCTCAGCAGCAGAAGAAAAGAGATTCTGGGATGGAAAACCTTGACATGTATAAACTGAACAAGAAAACATAAGGCTAATACGATAACATTTGAATTAAACAATAATAAGGTTTTCTTTCTGTTCATCTTCCCGTACAATCTTTTCCCTGTCTGAAATCTCAGTCTTCACTTTATTGTGATGGTCAAAACCACACCGTGCAGCAGTTCCACACCTATCAGAACTGTTGTCACATGCTTTTCTTTTATCTGTTAGGACCTTTGAACCCAACTCCAATACCAAGTTCATGTCCTGCAAAGTCAAGTTTGAGATTGGAATAAGAGTTTCCAGAACAACAGTGACAGCGAAATCTACAGTGAGATTCAGACCATGAAGCCATGAAGAGATGCTTACTATTAATAGGTGGCAGGGTGGGGTGGTTGGTAATGGAAGGTTTCGAAGAAAGGAAAGGTAAGGAGGTTGTGATCAGGGTGGGAATGGGTGCTTTTTATCATGGTAGGGTTATAAGGTATAAGATGATAAATCAAATTAAACTAAATTATTTTTTAAAAACTAAATCAAAATCTATTACAATTTATTGGGTTGAATAATAGTCTTTTTTAAACTAAAATATTTCTTAATAATAATTTAAGTAATTTAATTTAATTTAGTTAATTTGTTATGATAAAACTCAGTTTAATTCTTTTAAGTTGTTATTATTATATGATTTAGTGCAATTTTGCCGAATTGTTTTCTAGTTAGATTTAATTTTAAATAATTCAAATTCATGATTTTTTTTTTCATTTTTATTTATTGAGATTATTGTGACAAGGTGGTTCATACATAGGTAGGTAAGTGAGAGAATGTTTATTGAAACGTGAGGTAACTTATTAAATGTTTTAAGTATATATTTAACTGATTTATAAACTGATAAAANGAAAAATAAAGAGTTAAATTTTGCATTTGAACTATGGTATAAAAACTCTTACTTTGAACTCGTTGATGGACAGAAACAACTTGCGAGCATGGTGGAGAAAGCTTCAATCGACGATGTGATGAAAGTGTTGATAGCATCTCGAAAGCAGGAAATGCAGCAGCTGTGGAGCACGTGCTCCCACCTGGTGGCAAAGTCAGGACTTCCGCCGGAGGTGCTGGCCAAGCACCTCCCCATCGACGTGGTGGCCAAGATCGAGGAGCTCCGCCTCAAATCCTCCCTTGCGCGCCGCTCCATGCTGCCGCTCCGCCACCCGCACCCCGACCTCGGGGCCGCCGACATGGAGGATCAGAAAATCCGGCGGATGCGGCGCGCTCTCGACTCCTCCGACGTGGAACTTGTTAAACTCATGGTGATGGGGGAGGGCCTGAACCTGGACGAGGCGCTGGCGTTGCACTACGCCGTGGAGAGTTGCAGCAGGGAGGTGGTGAAGGCGCTGCTGGAGCTGGGCGCGGCGGACGTGAATTTCCCGGCCGGGCCGGCCGGGAAGACTCCTCTTCACGTGGCGGCGGAGATGGTATCCCCAGAGATGGTGGCGGTGTTGCTGGATCACCACGCTGACCCGAACGTGCGAACCGTGGATGGCGTGACCCCGTTGGACATCCTGAGAACCCTAACCTCGGACTTCCTCTTCAAAGGGGCGGTCCCCGGACTGACCCACATTGAACCCAACAAGCTGAGGCTCTGCTTGGAGCTGGTGCAATCTGCAGCTCTCGTTTTGTCTCGTGAAGAAGGGAACAACCACAACAACAACGCTAACAACAGCAGCAACGACAACACTAACAACCCCAACACTTCTGCTTCTGCAACTGCAATCTATCCACCAATGAGTGAAGCGCACACCAGCAGCAATTTGGACTCGAGACTGGTGTATCTCAACCTCGGCGCCACGCCACAAATAGGTGACGATGATAGCAGCAGCCAGAGGGAAGCCATGAACCGTCATGGCTCGCAAGGTGGTGGATGTGACCCATCAATGTACCATCACTCTCATGACTTCTAGTTCTAGCTCTAGACCACTATTACTGTTATTATATATAGATATAATATGTTTGAGCTAGAGTAGCTGGTTATATAGCTGTCTGGCTAGTGGCTACCTTGAATTTTCAATTTAAAATGGAAATATAATTGAAGTTAATTTCAACTGCAACGAAGAAGAGACTGTGGACACTGTAGATTGGGTTTTTGTTTTCTGATAAACACGATCCACACTCTAAAAACTAATCTGAGAGATATGACTTTGTTTCTGGGGTTGTCAGTTGAAATAGTCATAGTGTTGATTACTCATATCACTATATGGTTGTTTAATTCTGTTTTTGGGTCTCTGGCCTACGTTGGGTGTTTGTCTGTGTTTCTTTTTGTAGGCTTTTCAAATGGTAGCAATGTGAAGTGCGGTTTCATGGGAGATGAGGATAAGCGACAAGGAGAATCTAATCACTGTAATTTTATTTTATTTTGCTGTAAAACCAAAGGGTGCATGGAGGAGACGCAGGTCAATCTTTTCAATCCCACTTCACCTGTCAACTCTTTGTTTTTTTTTATATACACTCACTGATGATGATGATGATGATGAACATGCTTAGCTAATATCACGGCCAATGCTTGTGTTCTTTTAATTTGGCTTTTCTTATTCCAATTCTTGTCCCACCTCACCCCACTTTCTCCTAACCCAAATTATTTATTTCTTTACCTTCCTTTATTTTCTGCTTCAACCTCTCATCATAGCAACTAGGATTATTTTTCCTTTTTCTTTATTTTCCAATTTAAGGTTTATATGCTTGTGGTATAGGTCAGCTTTATATCAGAGTTAAGAGATTAATCATATGAGCAGTGGCATATTTTCTTCTGATATTAATTAGTATTGGGATTTATTGTTTTCCTTTTGAGAAAAAGGTGTGGCTGTGGACAAATGGATTGGTTGTCTTGCATGAATGCTACAATGAGTGTGACCACACATGTCAAGTTAAAATATTGGCACTATCTCCTTCCATGTAATCCTCTTTTTGTCCCCTTGCCTTTTGTAGGCTCTTGGAGATAAAATAAATACTTTACAGCTAAAAGCAATTACATTAATAGTAATATCTTTTATCATTGCTAATTTTTGTCTAAGTTCATAATTAGTAGTGGGTCAGGGAACATTCTTGAATTTTACTCCATAATTAATTTTCTGCATGTAAATAGATAAGCTATACGCATCCCGAGTTGAGTACGTGTTCTTCTGAAAACATTTACAAACCCAAATTATCAGGTAATTAATACATGAAAAATTGTGCAGCAGATGCATATCTAAAACTAAAGTTACTTTTCTTTTTGGGTCATCTATGAACTCAAATAATATACTTTTTGTATTTGTATACATATACTTATAATTATACCCTATCTGCCATAAATATGCAACTGTCCAGTGATTCTATTTATTAGAAAAAAGATTTGATACACTTGAACAGTTCAACCATCACTTCTATTACTGTTCCAATATAAACATGTATGCATCTATTCGTGATAAATGCTTAGACCAAATTACTTTGGTAAGGTCATAGAATAATTTATTTATCAAACATATACTGGTCTTGACTATGCATAAACTGTGTCAGTATTTATATTTTGCATTTATCAGTTTGTGTATTTTCTCCAACTTTCTAATGCAGTGACATTTTTCTCTATGGTAGCTCTAGTTGCATTCAGCCAATAAATTTTTACTGATGAGTGGGGGAACTTTGATGATAATCAGTGTTTATAGATGTTTTTTTGAATTGGATAAAGCTATTAGTTTAAAGAGTTGGGAGCAAACAGTATAAACTGTACTTGTACAGAGTTTGGCAGAGATCTAGGACAGAAAAGTACATGACTTTAACTAAAACTAGGGCATTAATGGATCACTGATATTAGCAGTTTGGACTGTATAGAAAAAGCAGAGAAGTGACTACTCATTAGTATGCCTGAGATTTTGGTAATCATGATTCACCTGCTAGTTTGCTTGTGTTTTTTAATGTCAAAAGGTGAATAAATTAACCCTTTTGCATCTTCTCAGCAGCAGAAGAAAAGAGATTCTGGGATGGAAAACCTTGACATGTATACACTGAACAAGAAAACATAAGGCTAATACGATAACATTTGAATTAAACAATAATAAGGTTTTCTTTCTGTTCATCTTCCCGTACAATCTTTTCCCTGTCTGAAATCTCAGTCTTCTCTTTATTGTGATGGTCAAAACCACACCGTGCAGCAGTTCCACACCTATCAGAACTGTTGTCACATGCTTTTCTTTTATCTGTTAGGACCTTTGAACCCAACTCCAATACCAAGTTCATGTCCTGCAAAGTCAAGTTTGAGATTGGAATAAGAGTTTCCAGAACAACAGTGACAGCGAAATCTACAGTGAGATTCAGACCATGAAGCCATGAAGAGATGCTTACTATTAATAGGTGGCAGGGTGGGGTGGTTGGTAATGGAAGGTTTCGAAGAAAGGAAAGGTAAGGAGGTTGTGATCAGGGTGGGAATGGGTGCTTTTTATCATGGTAGGGTTATAAGGTATAAGATGATAAATCAAATTAAACTAAATTATTTTTTAAAAACTAAATCAAAATCTATTACAATTTATTGGGTTGAATAATAGTCTTTTTTAAACTAAAATATTTCTTAATAATAATTTAAGTAATTTAATTTAATTTAGTTAATTTGTTATGATAAAACTCAGTTTAATTCTTTTAAGTTGTTATTATTATATGATTTAGTGCAATTTTGCCGAATTGTTTTCTAGTTAGATTTAATTTTAAATAATTCAAATTCATGATTTTTTTTTTCATTTTTATTTATTGAGATTATTGTGACAAGGTGGTTCATACATAGGTAGGTAAGTGAGAGAATGTTTATTGAAACGTGAGGTAACTTATTAAATGTTTTAAGTATATATTTAACTGATTTATAAACTGATAAAAATTGAACTTTTTAATTGAAATAAAGTTTTATTTGATTAAAACAACAAATGAATATTTATTCAAGTCAACATCTATTACACTAACATCAATGAGAGGTCATGAATTTTCTCTTTTACTTTTTTATATAAATGTTTTAACTTTTCTCTTCATATCCTTTTTTATTTATACAAGAATAAAAGTTCTTACTTTACTTTTAGAGGAAGTCATTCTCCCATTAAGAGTTATTCTGATCTTCAATGTAACTTTCTTATCTAGGAACCTTTTTCTCTAATAAGAAAATCACATGTTATAACATGCTTTGACGAGACATCTTATTATTTTTTATCATAATTATATTAATCTTAATTTAGTTTTTTTAACGTTATTTAAATAGTTAACAATATAGTAAATAACATGACACAATTTATCTGATGTGGAGGGGAACTTCCTTTTCTTTAACATGTATATCTTCACGGAAATTTTCATTATTTTTCTTTCTCAAACCAACCCTCCATCTTTCATCATTTCACTCATACTACCCTTTTATTGTCAAATAGAAAAATCAAAGAACCCACTGAAATTGATCTCTATGTTTCCTTATCACCACATATTCAAGATTTCATATGAAAACAAAGAGGGAGCAGGAGATGTGCATAGGATAGGATGGCAAAAAAGTCTCGTACGCATATAAAATTCGCGATGAATAATATAAACAGGTTGGGCTTAAGTATTAATACTATCAAACACACGGATATGTAAAAAATAAAAATAATATTTTAATTTATATTTTATTTAATTAAATTAAATTTAAAATAAAATTAATTTATATTTTATTAGATTAAATTTAATTAAAATTAAGTTTTAACTTATATTTTATTTTATTTATATTAAATTTTACATATTTTTTTGTAATTTTGTTTAAATTTTATTTGAAAATGTATAAAATATATATTTTTTAATATTTGCAGGTACCCGTGGGTTTTAAAATATTCGTAAATTTTTTAAAACGGGTACTTGCATTGCTAGTGAGTGGATTGCAGATGGATTTTTTATTTTGTGGGTTGAATTGCGAGTAGACATTATCCGTAATCAACCCGACTCGTCATCCCAATATGTGTGTGGGCAGCAAAACCGGTGGTTCGTTTGCAAAAATTTCAATGATGCCGACAATATTTCCAGTCAAAGGTGTCCTTGGTCGCAAGCATAGAAGAGATTCAGAGTGCTTCTCCTTGCACCTCACCCATCTCACCCTACACCTCACCCATCTTACCCTACACCTCCTTATTCTTTCATATTTCCAACTGTGCCCCTATAATCTTTTGACTGCTTTTTTTATTTTACCCATTCAACAATTAAAAAAAGGCACTAACCCCTTCCTCCTCTGCCTCTCTTTCCCAAACCCTACACCCCCTTTCTCCTTCCTTCCTCCTCTATCACTCTTTGCTGCATTTCATATTCCCAAACCCTACACCCCCTTTCTTTCTCCTCTCTTCTCGCAAAGTACTCCTCCCCTCCTCCCTCATTTTACTTGTTGCAGTCTCGCACTTAATTCTTACAAACATGTTCTCGTTTGGTGGTTGTGTCATGGGAGCTCTTGCAATGGTGGTTGTGCGGTTGAAGACCTTGTCATACTTGGAAATGCGGTTGAGAGGCTGCCGGAGTTAGAGATGTTGTTCATGGTAGTCACACTTGGGAGTGCGGTTGACGCTCGCTACACTTGGAACTGCGGTTGATGTTCACCGTAGTTGGAATTGCGGTTTAGAGTTTTTTTTTCTTGCTACTAGGCGTGGCTCCGTGGCCTCCTCCGCTTACATCCACATCCGTCGCGGCTTCGACTACCAGAAGGTCCTGCAGGTGTCGCTTCTAGTCGACAACATCTTCGTGGTGCTGGTCTACGCCTTGGGAATCATGGGGTCGTTGTACCGTGTCAACATGACGCTCTATGCCTACCTCTTCATCACGTTCACGCTCATCGTGGGCCTTGCCATCAACGGTGGCCACAACAACGACTTCCTCATTTTGTTTTTTCAGTCTGGTTGTTGTAAGCCACTAACGTATTGTGGGTTCATAATGAAGAATGGTACGTTTTGGGAAGTGCCAAAAAAGGGTCCAGCAGTGAATAATTTTGTGTGCACCACTTGGAACAACAGAGAAGATTGGTTAGAACATCATTAAAATTTTTCATAATCTAATAAATGAAAGGCAAAAATGTCTATTGGGAGGTGCAGGTTGAGATGGGTGAGGTGCAGGGAGGAACAATCAGAGATTCAAGCCTCGTGGAGGAAAAAGAAGAAAGCATTGGGAGAAGCAAAAGTCATTGGTGGCAACGTTAGTCAAAGCTGCAAAGGTGAGAAGAAGAAAATGAAGTAACAATGCTGGTGGGACCTCTAGTGGTGGTCAGTGTCACCGTCGGTGACCTTAGCTAGGTGAAGTAGACGTGAATGAGGGAAGTTCTTATATAGCCTCATGGAACACTATTTTCCTCTATTTTGATTTAAAACTAAAAATTCATATCACATAATAAATAAACGATACATGTAAGATAAAACAGACTACGTGAGACAAATTAGGTCATTCTTTTCACTATGTTGTTAACTATTTAAATAGTGTTACCAAAAAAAATTAAATTAATTAAAATTGATAAAAAAATTGACGAAAATTGGACTTAATTGAATAAGAAAAGAATATAACGAAATTGAAGAACTAATAGATAAATTAGATCACCTTGTTCACTATATTGTTAACAAACATTGTTAATATTTAAGTTATCATGAAGCATAAAATCATTGAAAGTATATTTGAAACACTTAACACATCTTGTAAA